TTTTTTTTATCCTCACCTGAGGATATTCCTTCCATTGTTGTTGTTGTTTTTTTTTAAATATATCTTTATTGATTTCAGAGAGAGGAAAGGAGAGGGAGAGAGAGAGATAGAAACATCAATGATGAAAGAGTCATTGAAGATCGAGCCGGCAACCTGGGCATGTGCCCTGACCAGGAATCGAACCCTGATCTCCTGGATCCTAGGTCAATGCTCAACTGCTGAGCCACGCCCGGCCGGGCTCCTTCCATTGATTTTTTTAGAGAGAGTGGAAGGGAAAGGAGTGGGGGGAGAGAGAAAGAGAAACAGTGACGTGAAAGAGACACATTGATTGGTTGCCACCCACTTGAGCTCTGACTGTTGTCTGGGATGGAACCTGCAACGGAGCTACATATCCTTGCTTGGGAATCAAATTCTCAACCCTTTTGGTGGGTGGGCTGATGCTCTAACCACTTTTATTCAATTACATAATGGTTTATTTTCCCTACAGGCAGGTTGCTAACATTAAAGAGTGATTTAATAAGCTGAAGATCTTGACTCTACCCTACTAATCGAACCTAATTTACTTTATTTCCCTTTTCAACAGTCATGGCAGCCCTCCATTCCAGCCAAAGCAGCCCTTCATCATAACCTAGCCACACCATGTCCATTCCTACTTTTGTTTATGCCTTTGCCCATCTAAAATTCCCTTATTTTGCTCTGCCTAAGAATCTCTCAAAAGCCAGCTAGCTCAAGTTCATCTTTCTTCATGAAACCTTCCCTGAGTACTCTAGCCCCACTGGTTCTAGTCCTCTTATGAAATTTGTGACCATTTGGGGAGGGGGATAGTAAGGCATTCCCCTCCCCTGAGGACTTAAAATATGGCAAACGGGTTTTTAAAAGGTGGCTCCCCAAGAGAGAAATACCATGGTCAACACATCATGGAGCAGTGCCATGATGTGTAAGGACCAAATGGCTTCCCGGTCTATCAGACAAGTAAAACCTGATGGGATGTATTAACTGCTAAAGAGAAACATGTCTATCTATAGGAGGGGTGGTCAGTAGTAAAGGCAGAGAAAAGGTGAAGAAAAGACCAGCATGAGCATTGCCCATCCTAGCCTTGTCTAAGAGTAGAGATGGCATCTCAGGCAGCAGATGTAGATAGTCAGGCCCACTAGCCAGGCTGTGCCTGTCAGGGAGACAGATGGATCTGGCTAATTCAGTCCTTTCCATTAAACACTGGAGTCCGCTGATCCCTTTTGTTCTGATTCTGTTCTCACCAAGTAGCCTTCTGATTGATTGTGCTTTAGTCTGCCACGGTGGCTTGTCTCTACAAAATGTATTTCCCTAATCATGTAGAGACACAGATGCTGTCTGTGGAACAGACGTAGTTCTCATTGTCAGGTCATAATCTGGAATTCTGGTTTTTTATTAATCCTGTGGTATTGATAAGGTAAGACCTCCACAATAGGAAGTGAGTTCTCTCTTAGTGAAGAGAGTCTGACTTCTGAGCCTAGCAGCCTAGGGAGTAGCATAGGGTCACCTTGCCAAGGCCTCTGGGAAGAAAGTAATTGGCCATTGCCCAGGGGGGATGTGGCCTTTTACTTTTTTGGAATTTCTATAAACTCCTATACTGTATTTAATTTCTATATAGTTTAACCTTGCATTTGTATTTATTTATGTGGTTTCATTATTTTATCTCCCCACTTAGATGATAAACTCTTTGAGTATGTTTTATTTTGTAGTGGACAGTAATGGTATTCAAAGGAAGAAAGATAAGGCAATTCCACAAGGAGGAGTGATGCAACCTAATATTTGTTTGAAGTAGCATACAGAGTACAGCAATAGACAGGCCCATGTGTTCCTAAGACTTTTGAAATGTCATCTTTTACTATTCTGATATATGTAAGAATATGAATAAATGGTAATAGAAAAGCTATGTAACTATTTGAGGGGGAAATAACAGCAGATCTGTCTTTCTCACTTCAAATAAACATATTTACGTAAATGTAAAAAAACAAAAACAAAAAAAACCCGTAAAAGTGCTACAAGAAAATAAAAGCAATATTTTTATTTATTTTATTTTATTTTTTGAAAATATTTTTTATTGATTTTTAATGAGAGAAGAGGGAGAGGGAAAGAGAGAAACACTGATCAGCTGTCTTCTACATGCCCCCTACTAGAGACTGAGCCTGCAACCCGGGCATGTGCCCTGACCAGGAATTGAACCAGCAACCTTTCAGTGCATGGGATGTTGCCCAACTAACTGAGCTATATCAACCAAGGATACAAGCCAAAAAAAAAAAAACATATATATATATGTATGTATGTATATGTGTGTATATATATATATATATATATATGTATGTATGTATGTATGTTTGTTGTTGTTGTTAATCCTCACCCAAGGATATTTTTCGATTGATTTTTTGTTTTTTAAGAGAGAATGGAAGGAGGGGGGGAGAGAAATCGATGTGAGAGAGACCCATCAGTTGGTTGCCTTCCACATCTACCCCAACTAGGCTGGAACCTGCAACCCAGGTACATGCCCTTAACTGGGAATCAAACCCAGTACCCTTAGGTTTGCAGGCCAATGCTCTATCTGCCGACACTGGCCAGGGCCAGAAGCAATATTTTTATAACCAGTTGATGGGAAAGAGTTTTCTGAACCTGATAGCACAGGCAGAACCCTTTGATACATTTGACCACCTTGTCTGTGACACCATTAGCAAACTTAGCACTGGTTTCTGTCAAGCATAGGATGAAGAATTTTCCATATATTGTCTGATTCAATTCCCACAATTCTATGAGGATGATAGTACCACCCTCTTCCATAGATGAAGATCAACTTAAGGCCCCAGTGGCAAAACCAAAAGCAGAACCCTGTTTTGCCTACTGCAAAGGCTGTCTTCTTGCCCCACTGTTCTGTCTTCTCAAAGACAAAAACACTGGGGCCCTGGCCAGTGGCCTAAATGGTTAGAGCGTCAGCCCAAGCACAGAGGGGTCTCGGGTTCAATTGCCAGTCAAGGGCATATACCTGGGTTGCAGATTTGCTCCTTGCCCCCAGTGGAGGCAACCAGTTGATGTCTCTCTCTCACATGGATGGTGTTTTTTTTTTCTCTCTCTCCCCCCCTCCTTCCCTCCCTTTCACTCTCTCTGAAAAGCAATGGAAAAAATATCCTTAGGTGAGGATTAACAACAATAACAAAAGAGAAAAACACTGGGGAATATCTGAAACATTGAAATTCAATTAAAGCCACTGAAAGGATTAAGATATTTACTATAAAAAGAGTTTCATAAATCAACAGGAAGAAGGGGGAAAGGGCTGTGATGAGTAGGTCATGTGTGGTCAGTCTGTCACCATGTCTGCCAGTCTTCTCATGGCTTATGGCTTGGATTTTGTTAGCGAAGCCTTTGTCACCTCACAGTATGAAAGTAGTCTCTGATATTCTTTTTAGTCATTTTTAAAACATTTCTTGTTTTTTCTAATATTTTTAAATCGTCATTGGTTTTATTTTAATGTGGTTGTCTGTTTTTCCCCCACGTTAAGATCCAGTTGTCTTAAAATCTTTTTTTTGAATGGCTCATTATTTCTTCACTGATTTAAAATATAAAATACTACCTTTGTCAGGACTCTGTTCTGTGGATCCAGTTATCTTTTTCTGTACCAATAGCAGTATCACTATTTAATTTCAATTCTTTCACAACATATTTTGATACCTTACGGTAGGGTGAGCTCCTGCTTTTTTTAGCTTTTTCATACATTTCATAGCTATTCTTGCATATTTTCTTTACCAAATGTCAGCTGGCCAGTTTTTGTTTAAAACCTATCTTGGGCCTTGGCCGGTGTGGCTCACTTGGTTGGAGCGTCATCCTATGCACCAAAGGGTCGTGGGTTCGATTCCCAGTCAGGGCACATACTCAGGTTGTGGGCTCGATCCCCAGTCATGGGGTGTATGGGAGGCAACCCATTGGTGTTTCTCCCTCACATCGACGTTTCTCTCTCTCAACCTCTTCTTTCCTCTCTCTCTCAATCAATTTTGTAAAAATCTTGAAATTTGAATAGGATTGCATTGCATTTGTAGGTTAATTCAAGAAGAATTGGCATTTTTACAACATTCTAGGGACACAGCACCTCATGTCCTGTATTCTTCCTAATGTCCTCCAGAAGTTTTAATGTTTTCATGACATAAGTCTTACACATTTTTTGTTAAGTTTATTTCTGGGAACTTTATTATTTTATTGATATTGGAAATGGGCTCTTTCTTTCATTTTTTAATTAGCTATTTGTGGCCTGTAAGAAAACTATTGAGGTTTGCATGTTGATCTCTTGATTCTGGATTTCGCCATCTAACTGAATTGTTGTAGTACTGCCAGTAAAATTTTAATCTGTGTTCTTGGGCTTTTTAGGTTGTGCATCATCTCATGCAAATATGCTTTGTCACTTTCTTTCCAGTACCTCATTTTTATTGTTAAATTGATTAGCACCTCCTCAACATTGATCAAAAGTAACAGTAATAATAGGCATCCTACTCCTGTTCTTGACCTTAAAACAAAGCTGCTGTGTAGGTGTCTGGTAGATACTTTCATTTTCTTTTCCTAATTCCAAGAGTTTTTATTAGGAGTTATCTGCTGAGTGTTACCTAAAACAGCCAGTAAAATGCATTGCCAGCTGCATGCAAGATCCTAAGTTAGGGACTAGGAAGAGTCAAAGGACTATTCAACAGAGTTCCTGTCCTCAAAATAGTTGTCCTCTCGCTTAAAAGGGAACAAATAAAGCTTTACAAATCACAGTCATTGTGATGAATAATCATGATGTTGTTTTCTTCCAAAACAGATTTGTTACGGGAAAGAGGCTAAAAAAGGAAGCTCAAGGTAAATATGAGTCCAGCAATTTTTAAAGTAAAGTTTTAGAAGTAGAGGAACTTCCTCTTCCTGTAAGTGGCCGGTGGTGACCTCTGAAAATGACCCAGATAACCCCGCAGAATCATGAAAGTCAAGAAGTTTAAACCTTTGTGTTCACTTTAAGAACACCCGTGACAACAATGAAGATACATTTAAAAAACAAACAAACCAAAAAAAGAACACCTGTAAAACTACGGAGGCCATCAAGGGTATGCGTATCCAAAAAGCCACCAAGCATCTGAAGGATGTCACTTTACAGAAGCAATGTGTGCCATTCCCTCATTACAATGGTGGAGTTGGTAGGTGTGCACAGCCCAAGAGTGGGGCTGGGCGCAGGGTCGGTGGCCTAAAAAGAGTGCTGGATTTTTGCTGCACATGCTTAAAAATGCAGAAAGCAATGCTGAGCGTAAGGGTTTAGGCGTAGATTCTCTGGTCACTGAGCACATCTGGGTGAACAAAGCTCCCCAGATGCGGTGCAGAACTTACAGAGCTCATGGGCGGATTAACCCACACGTGAGCTCTCCCTGCCACATGGAGATGATCCTACTGCAAAAGAGCAGATTGTTCCTAAAACGGAGAGGAGGCTGCACAGAAGAAAAAGATATCCCAGAGGACCTTCAAAATCAAAAACTTATGGCCCAGAAGTAAATTCATCATAAAATAAGTGCTAATAAAAGAAACAAACAAAACAAAAAACTAGAGGAGAACTGAGAACTCATCCATTTCAATCTCCTCAATTTACAGTGAGGAAAACACCAGATTTGGAAAGAATAGTTATTTATCCTGATGCTTTGTCTGGATTTTGCAAAATTAGCTCCCTAGCCAAAGCTGTGATAGAATGGGACTGGCACAGATGCATCTGCTGTCAGCAGTCCTTTGAGGAAACGGTGCAGAGGGAGAGAGAGGTCTTGGTTGTATGTGTTCCTGCTGGTGGTGGAGGATCTGGGGAAGGGGTGGGGAAGCCACCTGGTCTTAGGGTAAGGGCGCTAGTCTCCTCCAAGGCCCATGGAAGGTGGAATGTATGAGTCCTTCCTGTAAAGTAGCAGGAAAACTTCCCTTTTATGCTACCCGTTTTCAGGGCCCTACTCTCTCTATTCCCTTCATCCAAACCTCAGAGAATTTTAACTGGGAGAGACCTTAGACAGTAGTTTGTCTTTTCCTTTAACAAAAAGGGAATGGAGAAGGGGAAAGGAAAGATACCTTGCCCCATGGTCACACTGCTAGTGAGTGTCAGAAAGAAGATGGTTACTTTCCCTTTGGGGACTTCTCCATTGATTATACTGTACTTGGGCTGTGAGCTACATTTTATGTCACAACTCGGTACACACACATCATATAGACATAAGTAGTTTCTTAAACAAACTTATTATGCACTCTGATTTTTTCCTATTCTGTTTGTATTCAAAAACAGTACTTTGTATTTTAGCATCAGCTATGACCTTTAAACTGATTCACAACTCACTCGTCAGTGACAGCCTGCAGTATGAAAGTCAGCAAGCTAGATAACTTTGCTAGNCCACAACTCACTCATCAGTGACAGCCTGCAGTATGAAAGTCAGCAAGCTAGATAACTTTGCTAGCTGGAGTCAGGCATTTAATTGGTATGATTTAACTTATAGGAAAAAGCAGGTAGGAAAATAAAAGCACCCCCCACCCTGCCCCAGAAAATGATGCATGAGACTAAGTCTAAAGGGGACCAATGTAAAATGCTTCTGGAGAGAGTAAACTGCTTCTGCCCAGTGTGGCTGTGCTTTTTGATTTTTGTTCATTGCATGAGGGCACTTGGCCAAGGGCCGAGAAGGTGAGTGGGGCTGAAAATCCTGCCTATACTCCATGCCAAGCCACATACAGAGGCCCCCCAGAGACATTGTGGGGCCATTTTAAATAGACACAGGAAACTTCTGGAAGCCCAGCATGCAAGGAATCATTGTCAAGGTTCCAGGTCTATGGTGATTTTGCTCATGAGTATGGACCCAGGTACCCATTTAGTCCTAATAAGACCTGAGCTTTATGTGTGAGAGACACATAAAATGGCATGAATCACTAATTGTTGGTATGTATTTTCCTCCAAGAGGCTCTCTTGAAGGTCTCCAGCAGGGCACATCAGGAGAACGCTCGATGGAGGTAAATTTGAAGAAGATGAAGTACTGTGGCGGGACAAGGCCGGCAAACACAGAGCTCATATTTCCCTCTCTGTTTTCTAGGAGGGCGGGTTCTTCAGCAGGCTGCTGTTTGCGCTCAAGAGTTTGTTTGCATCTCTCTTTGGCTTCTTTTGGACAACTGAGAAGTCGCAGGATGAGCTTGTAAAAATGTAAATGATTGGGAACAATTGAGAATTCTTTCTAAAAATAAGGAAATAATTCGTAGTTTAATTGTTTCTTTCAAGAGTAAAAGCCTTGGCCTTCTTCTCACCCCAGGGAGCAGGGTGAAGCCATCCCCTCATCTGCCAAGGCTGATGCAACAGAGTCTGCTGGAGAGACAGTAGAGGAAAGTGATGCATGAAACCACCACTGAGTGAACCCCATCCCATCCTCAGGCTTAGCATTGTTAATAAAACATATTTGAAATGTATCAATTCATAACCAACTCTAGCCATGAGGTAAGGAATTAAAGTGTAAATAGTTAAGTATTTATATGGAAATAACGGGCCATAAGCAAGAAAAGCTGGGCTGAAGCTGAATACCTGGGGAAGCCAGTACCACCTCAAGTGGCAGTGTGGTCCAACAGGGTGAAGACGGGCTTCTCTCCCTCAGTTCCCCAGTACAGCCAGTCCCTGAGAACTGGAAGACACATGAATATGCTGTTTATTTGAAAAAATAATAAAAATCCAAAGAATGAAATACAAATTAATAGGAATGAAAGTTGTATTATTTCCTTCCACATCCTCTTCAGAAGCTGCTGGGCAGCCTGGCATTTGACCTGGGGTGGGAGTTGGGAGGATAGCCTGGGGGGACGAAAAGGGTGTGTGTGTCCCCCACCACCACACCCCTGTAGGGCAACATCCAGCCACTTGGGGATCCTCGGGCCCGCAGGAAGGGCCCAATGCAGCATTATCCATGCCTGCCAGCTGCCCACCCCTGCTAGACCGTTGGTCTGGACACATTCCTGTGCATTGCCTGCTGCACAGCTGGTGACAAGGCCCAGGCAACCCTGGAAGCCAGGCCTCGTCCTACGGCCCTGCAGCCACTGGTTTTCTTACTTGGAAACACTTTTGTCTCCTCTGCTCCAACCAGCTCCTCCCTGGTCCCCAGCATGTGAGGGAAGGAAGGAAGGGAAGCCTTGAGACAAGCACACTCTCAGAGTGTGCAGTGAGCTACATGCCTTAGAACGGTCCCATGCTCCCTCATCTCCAACCCCAGAATCCTAAAGTGCCTGAATGTGAAATGGGCAGGATGGCCAAATCTGACCTTTACCCCGTTGAGTGTGCACCTCATGTTTTGCTGCAGAAATGTACATGCCTGATTCCAGGAGGCTATTCCAGGTCCCCTGGAGGTGCTGTATCAATACAACTCATACATTGAATTTCCTTTCTCAGATTTGAAAAATTCTTAATTCAAGCCCAGCTGGTCGCCAGGATTTTAGATAAGCGACTGTGGATCTATCTTATGTCCATTTTACTGAGCAGAGTCAGGGTTCAGAGAGGTCAGTCACAGCTGGGAATGGGCTGGTGAGTCTACTGAGTTGGTATCTCCCTAACCTGCCTCCCATAAGACTCCCCCACCCTCTCAGTCCCATCCCTTCTTCTGACCTTTCTCTGGGAACCTTTTCTTGTCCATCAGCCAAACCTATTGCCCTTCTTGGCAAATGACCTTTTCCTGTTGAGTCCAAGAGCCCAGCCCAGTGCCCACCACTTTGTTGGGAGGCAAGAGAGTATAGCAACTGAAGACTGACCCAAGGCTCCACCTACTCAGGACCCAGCCTTGGTTTGGCCATTTTTCACCTGTGTGACATCAGGCAGGTTACTTATCCCTCTATGCCCCAGTTTTCTCATGCATGAAAGGACAATAATAATACCCTTCTCATAAAATTGGTGTGAGGATTAGAGACTGTGGCCTGGCATTTTTTTAAATCCTCACCGGAGGATTTTTTAAAATTGATTTTAGAGAGAGAGAAACATCAATAGGTTGCCTCCTGGCCTCCTGTATGTGCCCCAACTGGGGATTGAACCTGCAACCTGGGTATGTGCCCTGACCAGTAATTGAACCCACGGCCCTTTGGTGCATGGGATGATGCTTCAACCAACTGAGCCATACTGGCCAGGGCAATATTGTACTCTTTTTATCATAGTATTTGTGCCTAATTTTTCCTACTAGATTTAGAGCTCTTCAAAAGCATTTATTCATATAATCATTCATTCACTTATTTATTGGGCACCTGCTATATGCAAGTCAAGAGTTCCAAGCTTTGGGGATAAAGCATTGAACCAGACCTGGTCCCTACCCTCATGAAGCTTCCAGTCTGTCAACTAAGATGAGTATTAAACACCAATTACCCCAAATGATTAATAAGCATTATGACAAGCCCCAAGGAGAAGCCCCAGCTGCAAGGACAGTAATGTAGGGGCCTGAGCTGGTCTGGGGTGGGTGCCTAAGCTTTGAATTTTTCAGCTCCTCCCTCATACTTCTGCTTTCATTGTCCCATCTGGTGGGTGGCAGGATGGTGGTGCTGGTGGAGAAGGCCTTGGCAAGGATGCTCCTGATCCCTGGAGAAGGAGGACTGATGTGTCCAGTGGTGTCCCTGCAGTGGTGCTGGTCCATCCTGAGCTATTTACACTCTGTCCTCATCTTCCCCATGAATGGAATGAGCTGGGAGATGGTAGGTCTAGTTGAAGACAGCCTGAGATTAAGGTGGATCTGGGCTGAATCCGTGCCCTCATCTTTAGGAACATCTTCCTGTGTTTGTCCAGTGAGCAGGCTCTGGGTGGGGCTAAGAGAATGGTTTGGGGGTAAATGATGGCTCTTGAGGCTAGGACAATCAGCTGGTAAAGTCAGGGGAGCAGAGCACCTTAAAGATCAACTGACCTGACATTTGATGGATGAGGAAACCAAGCACTTGAGAGGGAAGTGACTTCTGAAGGTCACATAGATGTTTCCTGGTGAAGCTGCCACCAAAACCCAGGCTGACTCCCACACACCTTGTCCCTTCCTCCACACAGTGGTGGTAAAGGAGAAGGGCCCTGTGAGTTCACTGCCCTTCCCTTAACAGAATCCCTGAAAGGTGTCACCTGGGAGCCCACAGTATTCCTCCCACATCCCCCAGGCAAGATCCTGCTAGTTCTCCTGGCTCCTCACAACCCTCCTCAAGGTTGAAGAGCATTTCTGTGCCATTAGGTAGTGCCTTCTGGTGCCTACTGAGATTATCTACAAAGGAGCAGGGGTGAGGGGATGGAACCTCTTCTCTCTGTGCCCCTTACCTACTTACATCTGGGTTTGCTCAGCCTCTAGGNCCTGCGCCCCTTACCTACTTACATCTGGGTTTGCCCAGCCTCTAGGCCCCAGACAGGGAGGGGTCCTCTCCCTCCAGAGTGAAGGAAGGAGGAACTGGGCTGGGAGAGACAGGCTAGAAGCCTCAGTTCGGGGGCTGTTCAAGGCAGTTCTAGAAAAGCTAGTTAACCTGTGCTAACACCTAGTTAACTTCTCATCCTCCTTGGGACCCTTCCTCCACAGCGCCTCTAGCACCATAACCCATGTTCTCCACAGCCTTCTCTTTCCCACCCATCCTACTTGGCTGGCCCATTCTGCAGCTGGTTGGGAAGTCTGCCAAGTGTTTGTCCAGTGAGCAGCTTGGCCCACCCCTAGGTTCAGGTCTGTCTCTCGACCTGTCTGCAGCACTTTCTGGGGGGGCTCAGTGTCCTCAGGGCGTTCCTCCACCTCCTGGCCCTGGTGGAGAGTTCCCAGCAGCCCTTTCAAATGAGGCGCCTCACGGTCAGCAGGTGGAGGGAGGTGTCCTCATTCTCTATCCAGCTTCCAAACCATCCCATGGTCTCCTTCAAACCCATGGCTCTTTTGAACACACACCCACCAGCTATGCCACCCATGCCCCTGCCAGTGCTGGCAGCCACCACCTCCCAGCCACTCCCCGCATTCTGGGGGGTGTGGTGCTCATTGCCTCCCATACACTTGGGCCTCATTCTCAGTGACTCCAACATTCACACGGATATCTCATCAGCACCCTGACCACCTTGCCTCCAGATATCACTTTCTCCATTCTGCCCAGCTGCCCACTCCCAGGGTCACAGCCTAGATCTTGTTCTCATTGCTGACAGGCCCATCCCCAAGTTTCCACCCTCACCAGCTCACTTACTCCTAGGCAGACACCCCCCCACCACCACCACCAGTGACTCCCATTTTCTCACCTACCACACCCCTCCCTTTTTCCCTTCTCTCCTTCCCACCTTGGAGCCCATGGTCTACCATTTTTTATTATTCTCTTGTAACAACTCCAACTCTTGTCCTTTGATGCCTTTGTCATCCTCGCCTGGCAGAGCCTCCCTGTGGCCGAAGCTAACTCTCCACTTTCTCCCTACAGGCAGCAGAGAAGCATGAAGATGCTGAGACAATCCCACAGCCAGGCTGCCTGGGGCGAGGGGGCGGGGCGTGGGGAGGTGCTTGCCGCCTGGCGCAGAAGCGACCCGGCGGACCAGCGGACCAGCGCACAGGGCGGCAGCGGACAAAGGATTACACCTTTGGGGGTCATTTCTCAGAGTCGGGAAATCTAAAATTTTTAAATTCAGTAGTGATAACTGCCTAGAACTCTAGTCTTTTTTGGAAGTGAAGATGAAGCCAGCTGCTATAAAGACGTCCCTACCCTCCAGGTCTTTGGACTCTACCCTTAAAATACGCTTGAGTAGACGAGCACTGTACAGTAGTAGGACTTCGGTGAGGTGGGGCTGCGGGGAGGGATCTAGAAGCAAAGAATCCCCGGAGTGGGCGGGGCCAGGGGAGGTCAGGCACCGAGCTGGCCCCGCCCCGCTGAGCTGGCCCCGCCCCACTCCCGAGCCTTGCGCAGGCGCAGTGCCACTTGAGCCTCCGTCGTGCGCGCGGTAACGGTTAAAGGTAGAACGGCGGAGTCGGTGCCTTTTGCAGATCCCACCGAGAGTGACAAAACCTTGCTGGTATGGGAACTGAGTCCTGGGCGCAGGGCCACGGCCTTGCAGGGAGCCGGGCCGGGAGGGAGGGAGGGAGAAAGCCGCTTCCTGGAGACTGGGAGTCTCGGAGTCCGGCCTCAGCGCCTCAGCCGCCTCGTCTCCTCTGAGAGGGCGCTTGGTTCCACAGGGGGCCTCAGCAGCCCACAAGCCCCAACTGATTTTTGAGAGAGAACGCTCAACAGCCAGCACATGTTGCCTTCTCATGCTTCTCGAATGTTAGGATTTCAGAGAAAAATTCGTTCATGAAATGAGCAGTGTTTTGAGTTTGCACCGTCTCCGCAGTTGCCTTGGGGAGCAGAAGGAAATGGGGGTTTTTATTTTCTGGGTGTGACGTTTCACGCACTTACTTGACACGGGACCACGGGACAGCATTCTCTGTTCACTGTGCGCTCCCAGTTTGGCCTCCCAAACGCTGCAGGGGGGCGTCCTGATTTCTGTGTCCTCATCAAGTTTTAGTGAGCCAGCGATGCCCACAGAGCCCCAAAGAAATGAAACTGAATGGTTAAGGTCACTCCTTGGTTAAGAAATGGCTAAGGTGGTGCGCAGGGCAGGCTAAATAGCCATCTCAGAGGTGGATAATTAAAAGGCATTTATTTAAAGAAAAGGGGCTGGGGACATCCAAAGAGAAAGGCCACACAGCACTGAGTCAAAGGGTATTGGGTCCAGATGGCAGCAAAAATATACTTAGGGCAGTGAAACAAGGAAGGTGCATAGAAGGAGGAACAGGAGAGCCCAGGCGGGGCTGCTTGGGCTCACTGAGGAGTCAGAGAGAAGGGGGCCTTGGAGACAGGTTCAGGAAGTTAGCCTGGGATGGGCTGCTGCTGCCCATTGCTCCCCTGGTTGCAAGTCTCATGGGGTCCCCCCCAGGGAAGAAGGGGGAAGAAGATGGCACTGGTGTGCTCCCCTGGTGGGGAGTGGGCACCGGGTCCTTTCTCTTGCAGGTGGAAACCTTAGGGTAGGTGTCAGGGGAGGGTCTTAATAGAATATTCATCAGCTTTCCGGGTGTGCTCTTTCAGGATTGTGGTCTCCACTGATTGGTGGGTGCCAGGGCAGGGGGTCATTAGTCTATATAGCTGGTCCTGAGTTAGCCACTGCGCCATTTGTCTGGTTTTGCTACTTTTCTGGGCCTGGGGCTGAAATACAACTGAGGCCCAGATGTTATCTTCAGGGAGGGAACGCTCAGGGGGGATCTAAACCTCATGACTATTGGTATGCTGGGGGAGGATAGGTTCCCCTGGGGACAAGGTTCTTGTTTTCACAGTTTTGCCCGTTGCTGGGCTTCTGGGGCTTCCTGCCCTGGTGAGTTTCTGTACCCCGGTTTCTGTACCTGGCCCACCTAACATTCCCTCCTCAAGGATTTTTTTGGCACTGAATTCTTTCAGAGTAAAGGGGTGCAGAGTTTCTCTTCTGTAACTACTTTGTGCTGAAAGGAGGGGGTGACGTTTTCCGTCAGAGCCAAAAGATCCTTGCTCTGTCAGAGGGCAGATGAGGCCTTGGCACAAAGGAGATTGTGATGGTGTCCGTGGTGGTATTCCCTGAGTATAAGTGGGGCTTGTAACCTGGTGGAGAAAACTGTTTTACAAATCTTAGTATTACTGGGGCAAAAGCTAGAATGACAAGCATTATGACAAATGGTCCGATAAAAGGAAAATGTTCTGGTTGTTAATAATTGCAAGGCAAAGGATGAGAGAAAAATGAAGCATTAGTTTGGAAGGTTGTAGTCAAATATTTAAGAAAACTAGAAAAAATTTAGTATCTAGTTTAGTTTAGCTCATGGGTGAAAAATAAAACTTTGAAGATAATGAACTGAAAAATTTATAGAGAGGTATCTGCATTCCCTCTTCTAACAGGGGTTAGTAACTTGGGGAGGGAAATGCTGTAGATTAAGATCCTACCTCAGTGGCAGGTCCATTTTATCTGTTCTCTAGGCTATATTCTCAAACAGGAGCTATAGGATGGAATGACTAAAACAGTTTATTTCCTTTGCTTACCCATAACCCTATAATTGGCTTATGCAGGGCTTTCTAAGTTGCTTTCATCATCACTTTCACCACCAGAGGTCAGGGAAACCTTTCAATTTATCAGGGCCTCAGATAATGATGCACAAAACTATTGTTACTTAAAAAAGAATACTTATTTACAGTTTACTATGAACTTACTGCTTAAAATGTTGTATCCTATTTAATGTTCACAACCACTCTATGAAATTGGCATTGATAAAGTTCAGGTGTATTCAAAAATAAGTCTCTGTGTCAGATTGTGATGTTCTTAGGTCTATCTCTTTTTGTCTTTAGGTTTGTCTTGGCACCAGACATAGGGCGGTTTAACATGAGGCCATTGCCCTAAGCAGCTCCCAGTGCCAAGAATTGGCAAATTACTCTTTTCAATGATTGGTCAAAAAGGATCACCAAGGTAAACTTTGTGGATTTTCTTTGACTGACTAGATTCCTGTCAACATTGAAATTCTAGACTTTAGAGAGCAGAATAGAACTGGGTTGTGGGGAGGAGATGTGAGAGACCTTTAAGTCTGAGTATTGGTCTGCCACCTAGAATTAATAATTTCATAGGCTTGGGTGGTGGTGTCCATAACTTTCTCCAGTATTTGTATGGTACATATAAAAAATAGTTGTCTGTATCTAGTAATTCATTTGCAAGTCTTGATTTTGAAGCTATAGGACACCTCAACTGATAGCTGGGATTGGTGGAATTTAGTTTTTATTTCTAATAACAAAAGATTTTGAAGTCTACATTGAGATCTTAGGAAGGACCTTTACTTCAAAATCCTACAGCTTCAGGATCTTTCTGACCTTGAAGAAAGGGAAAATGAAGATACTGTGGTTGCACCACCACCACTTCAGAAGCAAAGCCCGAAATTCTGTGCTTTAGAGGTTGTGTTGCCATCCTGCATGCAGCAGTCCTAGAGTTGGCATGGCCGAGGAGCCTTCGGATAAGCTAGAGGAAGGTCTGTTTCCAGTGTGTGTTGGGGCGGTGGGGACCTCTCTTTTTTACTCTCTTTCTGAAACTCATCTTTTCAGAGTCATCATCAAGCCCTCCCCTTCCTAAACTACTAACTCTGGGCAGAGTTTTCTGCCTTACAATATGGGTGTGAGTTTTTAATCTTAGGCAATACCTAACAAAACCTTTAACTTTAAAATTTTAGAGCTGACTTCTTCCTAAGATGCTTAGGAGGAGGGAAATTATGTTTTTTCCATTTTTGGTTAAGATTTTGCTTCAAATACTGGTCTTATGTGGCCTTCAGTTATCCCAGCAAAATTATCTTTCAAATATTTAAATAAACTTTCATGTAAATATTGTCCTTTGTCTCCTATAGAAGGGCTTGAGGAGAAAGAGTCAACATAAATACCTAGAAGGGGTATTCCAATTGGTACTGAGTTTTTTCCTAAAATAGCACTCAGGCTTAGGATTTTAAGTCAGAGGCAGGGCTGTTGGTGGATGGAGTGGATTAACCACTACCCTGCCCTGCTTGGGTTGCATGAGTTGCCGTCCCCCAGCTCCCCTCCCCCCACATACCCTCTGGATCTTTTGGTATCAGTTCCCCCAAGGGGAACAGGAGGGGGACACTTTTGGGGGCTCCCCTACCTTCCTCTCCAAGCCGTGGACAGAGGCCCTGAGGAGTTCCATACCACAGCACAGGGGCGCCCAGCTACCCGCAGGCCTCCCCCCACACATATTCCTGTGCTCCCCCTAGCAGCCCCCTCACAGCCTCACTCTGTTCTAGGCTCCTTGCAGACTTAACTCAGGTGACCGCAGTCCCCCCATAGTTGGTTCCTGTTCACCCAGCAAGAGGGAAGCAAAGAGATAGTGGCTGAAGGCCGTCTGGAGTGGGGACCCAGCAATTCCCATGGGCTTTCTCCCTCCACTCGCTTCTGCAGGCCTGCACCTCCAAAACCCCATCTACAGAAATTTTGGTAGCCCTTCTAATAGAGCAGTGAATTAAGAATAAGACACGGATACTGAAAATTTCAAGGAAATGGCAACATTTCTCCTCCCCTCTGCCCTAACTGGTATATTTTGTAGGTCAGGTACTTTTCTTGGGAGCAGTATGACCAGGGGGAGGAAGGATCTCTCAGATTTCAGCTTTGAGGAGGAGCTGAGATTGCCAGAACTGGACTAGCCCTTCTGAATTGCCTGGGGTGAGAAGGTGGCCAAGGCTTTTACTCTTGAAAGAAACAAACTATTCATTACATCCTCATTTTAGACAAGAATTCTCAGTTGCTACCATTTACATTTTGCAGAAAAGCTCATTCTCATCAGCTGAATTATTGTGGTGTAGCTTCTGTCTATCCCACCATCCCTGGGCTGCTAGGGTCAGGGCCAGCCAGGTGGGCAGCTCAGATCCTGAGGAGGGAGGGGGCCCCAGCAGGAGGTCATCATTCCCTTTACGTGGAAAAAGACCTCTTGGTCCCTGGTGATTCTAGAAAAAGGGCTTGCTCTTGTGCAGAGCCAATCTCAGCCCTGGCCTCATAAAGGTGGTGTAAACAAAGGTGCCATAAAAGGGTGGGACCTGAAGCCGTAAAGAGGCCTGTGGTAGCTAAGGACACTTACGGTAAAGGCGCTCCCAGAAAGGCTTGGCTCCTGCTCAGGGCCCAGCCCCAGCACCCCAGAGTCCTTGTCTGGCCACCTCTTTACTTTCTAGTGCTCTGCTTTGTAAATTCTAGTCACCTTGCCCCCCATCCCGCTCCACTTGGGTTTCTCCTTCCCTGCATCATGACCTAGACACTCAGAGCTGTAAGCTGAGGCAAGCATAGAGTTCACTTCATTTATTTCCTATCTCTTGGGGATCACTGTTCTTCATTGCTTAAGATCCATTTTCTTGAAAACTGTTGTTTCAAATATTTTGTTTGGCTTTTTAGTTGTTTCATGCAGGAGGTTAAATTGGTCCCAGTTATTCCATCCTGGCCAAACCCCATTAATTCTGTCTCTCTCTCTCTCTCTTTTTTTTTTTGCCAATAATGTTTTTTATACTTGTTTGGTTTTGATCCAGGATCCAGTCAAAGATCAGGCATCACATGTCATATCTTTGTTTGCTTTAATCTAAAAAATTTCCCTACCTTTTTTAGTCTTTCATAACATTGGCTTTTTTGAAGATTCTAATATAGTTCTTTTGTAAATTGTCCCACAGTCTGGATTTGTCAGTTTGCTCATGATTAGATTCAAAGTAAACTTTTTTGGGAAGAATCCTACGTAGGTGATGTATCCTTCCTCTGTCATATATCAAGAGGCATGTAATGCAGTGCTGTAGGATGTTAAGCCTCTGAAGAAGGTTCTGGAGTTATGGTGATCTCTGGTTCAAAGGTTCAAATGTGACTGCGTCAGACAAGGTTGGCTGCTGAGCATGAATAGGCCCCGGATGGGGAAGTGTCACCTCAGGTGCTTTGGAGGATCTGTAGTCTGCTGCAGGGCTATAACATCAGCCTCTGAAATAAGTTTGGGATAGATGGTTGACTCCAGGTCCAGAGGTTGAAATGTGATTCCTTCAGACAAGGTTGGCTGCTGAGCCTGAACAGGCTCTGGTTGTGGAAGTGTCACCTCAGGGTGCTTTGCAGTAGCTGTAGTCTACTGCAGGGCTGTAGCATTCGCCTCTGAAACAGGTTCTGGAGTGATGGTGAGCTCCAGGTCCAATGGTTGAAATTTTATTTCAGACAAAGTTGGCTGCTAAGTCTGAACAGGCTCTGGAATTGGAAGTGTCACCTCTGGGTGCTTTGAGGAGCTGTAGTCTACAGCAGGGCTGTAGCACCAGCCTCTGAAGTAGGTTTGGCAGTGATGGTGAGCTCCAGGTCAAATGGTCGAAATGTGACTTCTTCAGACAAGGTTGGCTGCTGAGCCTGAACAGGCTCTGGTTGTGGAAGTGTCACCTCAGGGTGCTTTGCAGTAGCTGTAGTCTGCTGCAGGGCTGTAGCATTTGCCTCTGAAATAGGTTCTGGAGTGATGGTGAGCTCCGGGTCCAATGGTTGAAATTTGATTTCAGACAAACTTGGCTGCTGAGCCTGAACAGTCTCTGGAATTGGAAGTGTCACCTAAGGGTGCTTTGGAGGAGCTGTAGTCTGCTGTAGGGCTCTAGGATCAGTCCCTGAAGTAGCCTGAGCTTGAATCTCCTGCTGGGATGCAAGTTTGACCGTGTTAGTGGACTTTGAAAGATGAGTTGAGACCTCCTTCTCAGTTGCAGATAATTCAATCTTCTTAGGGGGCCCTGAAGTTATTAAAACTCTCATATCCACATCTTTAAGATTGATATTAGGAAACATCTAGTGCTGAGCTTCACCCGAACGTAGAAGGGAGACTGTCACCTCATGATGTACAGAAGGTTGATCTACAACATCCAAAGCAGCTTTCTGAGGCTGAGCTCAACCCTTCTGCTGGACTGGAGTAGGTTGTACAGTGGCTAGAGGCATGTGAGTCAGAGCTGATCTCTTCTCCTGGACTGAAAATTCAACATATTTAGAGTCAGTTCTAGAGTTATGGTGAACTCCATGTTTAAAGATTGAATTGTGAGTTCAGTCCAGTTTGGTTGCCGAGCCTGAACAGGTTGTGGATGTGAAAGTGTCACTTCAGGGTGCTTTGGAGGAGCTGTAGTGTGTGCTGCAGAGCTGTAGCGTATACCTCCGAAGTAGGTTTGGGATTGATGGTTAGCTCAAGGTCCAAAGGTTGAAATGTGACTTCTTCAGACAAGGTTGGCTGCTGAGCCTGAACAGACTCTGGAAGTTGAAGTGTCACCTCAGGGTGCTTTGGAGGAGCTGTAGTCTGCAGCAATGCAGTAGCATCAGCCTCCAAAGTATGTTCAGGAGCGATGGGAAGCTCTAGGTCTAGTGGTTATAATGGACCTCAGACAAGGTTGGCTGCTGAGCCTGAATAGGCTCTGGATGTGGAATTGTCACCTCCTGGTGCTTTGGAGGTCCTGTATTCTGCTGTAGAATGCTGTAGCTTCAGCCTCTGAAATAAGTTCAGGATTGATGTTTAGCTTAAGGTCCACAGTTTGAAATGTGACTTCTTTGGACAGGGTTGGCTGCTGAGCCTGAACACGCTCTGGATGTGGAAGTGACCCCTCAGGGTGCTTGGAGGAGCTGTAGTCTGCTATAGTGCAGTAGCATCAGACTCTGAAGTAGGCTGAGCTGGAGTCTTCTGCTGGGATGGAGATTTGTCTTTTTCAGTGGACTTTGCAGGATGAGCTGAAACCTTGTCAGCTACAGATGGTTCAATCTGATTAGGGGGTTCAGAAGCTATCAAACGTCAAGTCCACATCTTTAACATTGATAGGAATGAATGCTGAGCTTCACCCAGACCTGGAGGTGAGTCTATCTCCTCATGATGTATTGAAGGTTGAGCTACGACATCCATAGAGTAATTTGGAGGCTGATCTCAACCCTCCTGCTCAACTGAAGAAGGTTGGAATGATGGTGGGTGGAGGTCAGCAGATCAGGATCCAGGGACAACTCAGGAGGCTGAGCTTCCCGGACTTGCAGCCACAATAGCAGCTACTTGAACAGGAGCCATGGGGCCCACAGGTGCAGCCTGGACATTATAGGCAGATGTCCCAGGCACAGCGAGCGACCCAGGCATGTGGGGCACAGAAAGTGACCCAGGCAAGAGGGGCACAGTGAGCCACCCAGGCAAGTGGGGTACTGGCACCACGCGCTGAGCGGGATCCCAACGATTGGCAGCCATGTCACAATTGGCAGCCGTGTCATGCTTAGCAACCAAGCACCCCTCCCCCGCAGCAGGCTCCAACTTTTATTGGTCTTGGGCTGAGAGTGGCTGCGGAAGAGCCAGGCTTCTTCCCAGAGCCACCAGGGACCCTCTGATCCTCTTCCCCTGCAGGAAAGACAACTACCTCCCGCTGGGCCTCCCTCCAGTTCCCTGCCGCTTTCCTTGCACCAGCCTTGCCCTAGTCATCAATCAGATTAAGAGCTGGTCAGTATTGAGGATCTTATGCAGGACACTTAAAAAACCATGCTGTCATTGTGTTATGTCCACAAATGTATCAATAAGCTTGAACTAGATGATTTTGCCCATCTCTGATATATCCAAAGACTTTTTCTAATAGTATTTCCTATACCCATAAGCCAATACTGGTGCCTGCTAGGCTGCACCAGCCAACAGGTGTCTGGCAGACTGACTTAAAATGACCCCTGGAACACCTGCAGACATTGGCAAGGAGAAACTAATATTAACTGGAAATTCCTTTACCAGATCCCCACAGCACATAGGGTCTCCACAGGGCCAAGTGACCTTCTCCTAAAAGGGGGACCCCTCTCCATTAACTGCAAGGATGAAATCTACTGGGGTCCACCCTAAGAGGCTAGTTTTTAACATATCCCCAGAGGTGGTACATCCCTCATGGATTCCTCTTCCTTTGTGGACATCCCCAAAATAGCCTACCTTATGATGGCAGACCTTATGCCATGTTCCACTAGCCGTTACCTGCTGCTCTAGCCTACCTGTGTGTCGACAATACACAATTTCAAGGCCAGTGCATCTTTGGTTTTCTTGGTCCCTGAGAGATTTCTGTCACTATTCATAGTGCCTCTAACCTTTGAAATAAAAGGGCCGTTGGTCTCTTTGTAGCTGGCATAGGGGCAGCTGTTGGCCTAGCAGCAGCCACGGGGAGGATTTGCCTACCATGAAGCCACCTTAAGAAATTTAACAGACAGTATAACTGCCCTAGAAAGAAGTACTGGCAATGCCCTCAGAAACTTAGAACAACAGTCTTGCTCTGGCTGAGTGGCTCAGTTAGTTGGAGTGTCACCCTGTACACCAAAAAAGTTGTGGGTTTGATTCCCGGTCAGGGCACATACCTAGGTTGTGGGTTTGATCCCCAGTTGGGGCATGTACAGGAGGCAGCTGATTGTTGTTTCTCTATCACATTGATGTTTCCCGCTCTCTCTCTCCAAGAATCAATAAAAACATGTGAGGATTAAAAAACAAAACAAAACAAAACACCTTACAATGGTCTCTAGATTCTCTTGCTAATGTTGTGCCAGATAATAGACTATCCCTCAGTTACCTATTGCAGCAGAGGGAGGGCTATGTGCAGTCATAAACAAAGCCTGCTGCGCTTCCATCAACTCTTTGAGTCAAGTATACGAAAGCATCAAAAAAAATCTAGGTCCAGGCCACCTGGCTTCATAACTTTCAAAAGGGGAACCCTTCTTCCAGTTCAGTCTGGGATACTGTAAAATCTGCTCTCCCCTCCATTACCTGTTTTCCCCCTCCTTGGACCTCTACTAGTTATAGTTCTCATCTTTGGACCATCTTTTTTTAACCTTTTCATCAAATTTGTCACCTCTAGGATACAACAATTCCATACCAAGATGATGATGCTTCAGGGATTCTGGCCCATCCCTACTTTAGAAGAATCAGCTAACAGCCTCTCTGTTCCAGACTTGGATCCCATCCCCTTGCCTCCCTTAGATCAGGCAGGGAGAGACTTCCATACCCTACACAGGCAGGGACCACAG